TAGTTGAAGAAGATGAAGTGGCCTAACAGCATGAAGTCTGACACGGCATAGATGGGTCAGTGCTAACAGACTCTGTCAGGGTCTTCAGCACCCGTGAAACACCATAAGTGAAAGTAATGAAGACTAGGGCACTCTTCAAGTCAGCCTGCTGGGTCTGCCCACTCTTCTTCCACCCTTCACCTCCATCAGTGAGATCAAACAAAACATACCCAATCAGTGAAGAAGCCAGGCCAGTCCCAAAAAGCCAGTGGGGGGCCAGAAGACCCTCATCCATATACCATCATATAACCACAAAAACACAGATGCTGCACAGCTGCTGTCACCACACTGGATACAAATACCACAGCCCAATATTGGTATTTCTGGGCACAGATGGTTGTCTGGAGGCTCCTCCAGGAACCTCCGGTCCACGGAGTTATCAGGGAAGGGCTGTCGCTCATACAAGATCTTCTGTCACTTGGCCTCCTTGGTGTTAGTTACAGGTTCGGCACCCATTATCCTTGCCCTGAAACTCAGGCCAGTTCAACCTCCCTTGAAGAAGTCCATTTGGCTCTCATTCCTCATGAAGTTTTGAAATAAGACCTCTCTGGAAATTCCATGCTGTGCTGCACTGATATTCTACCAGCCTTTCCTTGTTTTCAAAGTCAGCAGTCCAGGCTAGGCCTGCAATAGATGAGTTTGTTCTTTGAGGCAGGACAACACAGCCACGTTCCTTATTTCTTCCACGGAGACCACGATGGGTTTTGCTTCACCAGCCAGCCACCCTGAGAACCCCTCTCATTGCAGCAGGGACCCCAGCTCACCATCTCATGGCTGCTGCCGGCGCTGGAGGACTCACGGCACAGAAAAAGGCAACACTCGCCTGCAGGGTCAGGAACGGGACTGGGCGGGGGTAAGTCAAGGTGTCCCCGGCGTGCCCTACTCACCCTCTGGGCCTCCCCCGCCCACCGCCGCCCCTCACCCAGCCTTTGGCCTGAGGGGGACAGCAGAGGAGAAGGCCAGGAGACACTGACTCTCACATGGAACCCACCTGCCAGCGAGCTCCCAGGGGTGCACATCTGGGTGTGGGCCGCCGCCTGCCTCTTAAATAGGCATTTCTCAAAGGAAGATATACGAATGGCCAAGAGACACATGAAAAAATGCTCAACGTCACTCAGCATTTGGGAAATGCAAATCAAAACCCCTCTGAGGTACCATCTCACTCCAGTTAGGATGGCTAATGTCCAAAAGACTCTGAACGATAAAGGCTGGCGAGGTTGCAAGAAAAAGGAACTCTCCTACACTGTTGGTGGGACTGCAAAATGGTGCAGCACTTACGGAAAATGGTATGGAGGTTCCTGAAACATTTGCAGATAGATCTATCATATGACCCAGCTATTCCACTGCTGGATATATACCCAGAGGAATGGAAATCATCAAGTTGAAGGGGTACCTGTACTCCAATGTTCACTGCAGCACTATTGACAATAGCCAAGAGTTGGAACCAGCCCAAATATCCGTCATCAGATGAGTGGATAAGGAAACTGTGGTATATCTACACAATGGAATACTACTCTGCTATAAAAAAGAATGAAAACTGCTATTCGCAAAACATGGATGGACTTGTAGAAAATTATGTTAAGTGAAACAAGTCAGGCACAGAAAGAGAAATACCATATGTTTTACTTATTTGTGGGAGCTAAAAATAAATAAATACACAAACAAACGGCGGGGTGCGGGAAGAAGACACAACAATCACAATTCCTTGAAGTTGTTAAGACAAGCAAACATATGAAGTTGATGGGAGGGATGGGGAGAGAGAGGGGGAAGGGAGGACTCAGTAAAAAGACATAAAAATCAACTACATTGTATGTTGATAAAATAAAATAAAACTTAAATAAATAAATAATAAAAAAGAAGTTTGTTGAATTAATGAAATAACTACATTTGTATTTTTCTATGATTCCGTGGTTATTGC